CCCCCCGGGCCCCATGGCTTCGGCCGGCAGCGGCATGGAGGAGGTGCGCGTCTCGGTGCTGACCCCGCTGAAGCTGGTGGGGCTGGTGTGCATCTTCCTGGCGCTGTGCCTGGACCTGGGAGCCGTGCTCAGCCCCGCCTGGGTGACGGCGGACCACCAGTACTACCTGTCCCTCTGGGAGTCCTGCCGCAAGCCCGGCAACTTGGACAGCTGGCTCTGCGAGTCGACGCTGCACAGCGGTGAGACACGGCTGCCCCGGGGCCCGACCCGGCTCCCCTCCTTCCCTCCCTCCCTTCCCTGCCGGCAGAACCCTGACCCCGTAGCCGCCCTCTGCCTGGACCCTGCCCCGACCCTCCTTCGGCCTTTATTCCCTTCCTCGCTCCCCCCCAGCCTCACCCCGATCTGAGACTTGCACTCCTTCCCCGCCGTGCCCTGGCTGCCCCGCCGGCATCCCCCGAGCCGCCGCTCCTCCATCCCCGTTCCCCCCGGAACCGTATCCCAGCCCTTTCTCGGGGTCAGCCTCTTCCCCCAGCGCCCCCGGCCGGAGCAGTGTTCGGGGGGCCCTGCCTCGCTCCCCACCGCTCCCCCTCCGGGCTCCTCGCTTCGCCCGCTGCCGCCCCGCACCGCCGCCGGGAAGAGTCCCCGGCACCTTTGTCCTCCGCGCCCCTCCCGTTGCCGAGCCGCTTCCTCCGTTCTCCTCCCTGCCTTCCCCGGTCCCGGCTTTTGCCCTCCTCATTCTCCTCATCCTCTCCCCTGCCTCCCCGGTCCCGGCGCTCGCCCACCCCCGGGCTGCGCCGCCCCGGCCCCGCTTCTCCCTGGTTTGCGGGTTGGGGCAAAGGCGGTGTCTGTACATGGCGTGTGCTGGGAGCGGGGGGGGGGGCAACCGGGAGTCCCCTTTGGGCTCGCCCCTCCGCCTGCGAGGCGGTCTGGGCTGCAGGAGAGACGTGAGGGAAAGGGGGGGCTGATTTCCTATCTGCCTCTGACTGTGTTTTCACGAAGCATTCCGAGTTCCGACTAGTTTGGATGATTTTTTGCGAGTGGCAGTTGTTCTCGTACAGTGAGAAGCTATTGGGGATCAAAGATCTTATTATTCCCCACTCCCACACCCCCCCAGTCCCCCGAAGTCACTAGCTGTGGGAAGCTGGGGTTTCCTAACCAAAACCGATTGCTATTTTGTCCCGACTGGACTCTGGCTCTCTCCATCCCCCGGGTGTGCTGTGTGTGTCTTTCTCTAGCAAGTACTGAACTTCCCAGCGCCTTTCATACTCCTTTGCCTTCTTGCCCCACTGTTTCAATTTCTTGATGCTCATTCGTTCTTCAGCTCTCTAGGTCTGTGGTCATAGACTGTTGTTAATTTTTTTTATTATCTATTTTTTTAAAGTCATTTCACTGTTGCTTGGAGTACTCAGTAAAACGGGTTGTGAGTGATATAAACAAGCTGCCTGTTGAATATTTTTCGGTGGATTTTTTTGCGGTACCGTAATTGTTTAGGTTTTCGTGGGTTGCTTTATTTACTTTATGGCTGTTAGCAACTTCTGGAGTCCCAAGAGAAACAGTGACAAACGGAGCCAGCCTTTTCCACCCCACCGCCCGCCCCGTTTTCACTCCCATCCCTGCCCTCCACACACACAGGGTTGCATGGGCTAAATCATCCGTTTGGATTGCTCTGCTCTCCGGTTGGGTAAATCATACAGGGACAAGATGTTACTTTTGGGAAAGAAGGCAAGAGCCAGACTGTGTCTTCTAGATGCTTTCCTTTTTCCTCGCTTCTCTGAAATCCTTGTATAGGTTTTGGGAAATAACTGATCTCTGAGTAGAAATTGCACAGGTTCCTTTGCTGCCGTGCTTATTTTTTTTTCTATCGTTGTGTGGAGTAGTATTTGAGCGTTTGAATGTTGTTTGGGGTATTGTTTTAAATCATGTAATGCCAAAAAGACTTTTAAAAAATTGTCGGTTTCAATCAGTTACCAGGGCATTTACACAAACTTTGGAGAGCTTTCTTTTCTTTCCCCAGTATAAATGGAAATTTATGTAGGAATGTCAGCTTCTACGTGTCTCCTTAGCAACGTGAATCCTTTGCCCCTTCTCCCTGTCTCCTGAAATAATATCCCCTTGATTGCAGAAAGACTTTTCAGATGGCTTGAATGGGAACCTGCTCCAAATCCCCCCCCGACACACACACACACACACCTCTGCACACATGTTATTGGGCTCCCCCACCCCAATCCATGTCCACCCCCCACGCATGCGTGTATACACACACACACACAAAAAGTGGGACATTAAGAAAGCAGGACAGCTTATGGAACAGCATAAAAAGACACTAATCTCTCGCGTTGCTTTGCTGGTTACCTGTCTGTTTATGGGGAGGTGGAAGATGAATGGGTGAGGATAGATAGGAATGAAATGTGGTTTTGTTTGGATACTGTGTGCTGAAAATTTGCCCTCTCCTGGTGCTTTCTTCTAGCCTGTGCAAAAATTCCTGCCTGTCCAGTTTTATTCAAGTTTCTTGAATGAGCTTTATTCATTTTCCTTAGATACTTTCCACTCTAGTGGAGCCAGGTTTCACAAGGTACTGGGGAAGAAGTGAATGATTGTTTTATTTGAGGTGACTGGAATAAACTCTTCATTTTCCTCATGTTTGGCACACAATGCTGCACTTGGAGGAGACCTGAAATACGAGAAACTGTACTGTTCTCCCTTCGCTTTCTGTGTTACAGTTCCCATTACAGTCAATGGGAAGGCTCTCTATGAGTTCACCAGGTTGGATTGGGCTCCTATTCGAGACCATTTTGTGTGCTTGCCTTAATATTTGAAGTGCACTTTCCTCCTACATCAAGAATGTAGCAAGTGGTATATTTTGGAGAGAGTGGAGAGCTCCCACAGGGAAAGCTCTTTTAGCTTGCTACTGGTGCAAGCAGCTTTGTAGCTAGCTAGCTGTGAAAAGCTGTAGCACACACAGGAAAAAGGCATCTTCACCCATGGTTTTAAGAGATTTACTTCATCATCCCTTGCAGGAGAGCACCTCAAGTGGCACCATCAAGGGCAAGCTCATGTTAGAAGCTGTTAAAGCATATTCGAGGTTTAATTAAAAACCTTTGTTGTAATTAGATGTAGGAACCCCTGACTGCTATCAAAAGGGCAACTTAGTAGCGGAAAGCAGAAGGAAATGTACAGAGCATTACTACATTTGGCTGTTATAGCAGGAAATAATCCTGAGTTTTCCTTCAGTGTTGCTGGTGTTTGGAGTATGTGTTCTTGCTTTGTTTTGAGGGCTTTTTTTTTTTTATAGCTTGCAAACAATTCTTTGCTCTTGCACTGCTTTTAAAGATGTGCAAGTACTTAATGATATTGCAAGTTCAAGTATCTAAAATAGTCAAAATAATTTTTAGGAATCTGAATATTATCTCTCAGCTTAATTTGCTTTTCTTCTTTTTGAGTCTTTAGGGTCTGTGTAAATCACCTGTTCTTTTTTTTTTTTTTTCCTGTAATTGCAAGAGCAGGAAAGGTATTCTTGCATATCCCTTGTCTACCTCTTCCCTTGATTAAATCCTAAAATTCCCATTAGTACCAACTTCAGGAGCTGAAAAACTAAAAATGTTGCTAGTATGGAAAGCTTCATGATAAAATCTTGAGATCCATCAATGCTGCTTTACAGTTTCACCAGCTGTCTGGGCATAAAATTATTTTCTATGATCAAAGCTTAACTTGGCTAATGCACAAGTTGTCTTTAAGTCAGCTGTATTTTAAACTCATGTGCTAAACTAAGAAAAAGCTTACAAGGTTTGGAGTGTTCCTTTGGTGTTTTGAAACAAAATTTTTTTTTTTTAGACCTCAGCTGAAGTGGATTATGTTTAATTTGTGATGGTTCATGTGCAGATTTATCAGGAGTTGAGAGTTATGTATGAATATTTATTTCTACCACAGCATCTGCCTAAAATTAAATGCATTCTATGTACAACTGTGTGGTATGTCTATATCTGTACAAGTAGGTATCTTCTTCCTGCAGAATTAATAACAATAAATTTGAATGTATGCAATAGACTGCAGCCATTATAGTTCTTTAAATCAAGCATATGCAAATATGATGTGGAAGTCATAAAGGGTACCGCAGAGTCTGATCAGCAGGTAAATATTGTGTATTTTGGCTTCAATTCATGTATATGCTATTCATAGAAAAGAATGGCTTCTTCGCAGCATTTCAGTTTATTGTGAAAATAGCATATATAAAAATACATTTGCATGGTTTCATGCTGGTTAACTACATTCATTCTGGTTTATGGGGCCATATGACTGTTACTTCTCAACCCGTGTATTTGTTTATGCAGCGCTCAGTTTTCTATAAGATCATTATACTCTAAGAACTGTCCATGAATGTTTCAAAGACAGAACAATCTCAAGGAAATAAGTGTAACAGAGTCTCTGTGTATGTTTAAACTTAGTGGTGAACACCATAAAGATAAGCTTAACTTATAGCATAGTGCAGTAAAACAACTTGAGTCTAGTTTTGTGCTTATAATTCTGTTTTAATTTATTCTTAAAGCATCAGAGGCTGCTCATTTGGTAGCACTTGAAGGGGTTTAACCTTAATTATACATTAGATGCAGATACGTGAATTATCATGGCTCAATAGTCTTGGATGGTATCTGCTTGTTTTGAATCTAAGGAGTTGTTCCAAGGGGAAATTGCTTAGCTCCAAAGCAGCTTCCTCATTAGAAGATCTGGATCATTGCTCAGAGTTGATGTTGACACATATTTGTAAGAAGCTCAGCAAGGCTGATAGTTTGCTATAAAATGTCATAAGAAGAACAAATGTAATTTTACTAAGTCTGAGGAAGTGGCTTATACAATGTAAGGAGCAATTAATAAAACATTCCTTCTGGTTTTGAAAACTGTAGTCTGTTGTTCTGCCTATTACTCTTTTTAATAATCATACCCAACACTTCAGCTGAAGGTGGATATAAAATCAAAAGCCATGCTACTTCAGGCTCACCATCTAAGACTCTGAGCAAGTTGATCTGACTTTGAAGTTGAGTCTGACTTGGAAATTGGCCCTGCTTTCCATGGGGAGCCATACCAGATGACCTCCAGAGGTCCTTGCCAACCGAAATTATTCTGTGATTCGTTGATGACTGATACTCTGTTTACGCCTGATGTATACCTGGCTCCTTCAATGCGTTCAAAATGCCTTGAATTTGTTAACTACTCCTTATAGTAGCCCCAGATAGAGGAAGCAGAC